CACGTCTGACTCATCTACCACATTCACACAAATGGCCCAAGTTCACTGAACGAGCGATAGAGAGAACAACACCGCACGAAACCCACAAACACAAGCACAGATTGATTTGCAAGGTTCCTAAGGTATCTTGGATTATTTTATTCACGGTAGTGCTTGCCAGCGAATAATTACGCTCGCGTTGCTTCCTTGCTCGTATTACCGGATTGCTTTTTACCAATATGAGTGCAACTGCAATGTTGCCTCCGAAATTGCCTCCACCACCACCGCCACCGCCAGGTCATGGATCTTCCGGATTACAACAGCAGCAATCGCAACATCGGGTTTCGGACAGTCCAGGAACAGATACCGAGCATGGGATCAAATACGAGGATGATCCAAGCTCTGCGAATCTCACCGAAAATTCCATGATGATTCTATCTCAATCGGTGGATTCCATACATACTTTGGCCACGAACGGAGGTGGAGATGAATCTGAGGTGAGTCCAGGTTCCTGTGATAATAGCCCTGCCCTAATTTGATTTTCGCACACATAACAATCAGAAGTTTCTACCCATAGAAAATCACAACAGTGGTAATTGAAAAGTAAAAGATTTGACAATCCAGAGGAAGATATCGGATGCACACCCAGTCCCTATCGTTAACGGTGCATGGAACAGATAATATTCTATAATGCGGATATAAGTTGTCAGGGGAAACGTTTAGATCAAACTTGCAGAGTAAGAAATGCATTTTGACCCCTATCGCGGTTTCAATTTTAATATATATCACTTTCCATATATTCATTCACCTCTGGTATTTCCATTGCTCGGTTCTCCTTACAATAGTCTTTGATATTAACGAACAGAATACAAAATAGATCCACAGTATTAGGCTTACTTTCCCAGGATACCACTGAGACCACTGGTTGCTGAGCGAACATTTTTTATATTCCCAGTCATGCTCTTGCATATCATATAGTGTAGCAATACTTACTCAATAACAAACATTATATAAGCAATTGAACACCATATGAGATGCAAGTTTGACTAAGAATAACCAAAAGCACTTGTTCGCTCACAAATTGATTTTCTGAACACGAATAAATAATGTATTAACATCATTTTGATCGTAAAGACTGATTAAAACTTCCGCCAAACACGGACACAGTTTTAAAAAGAACCGACCCCTACCGTTTCGAAATGATGCTTCATATCCCCTTAGAAAAATTTCAAAGCAGCGAAATCTGTGCAGACAGGCTTAACGCGCAACAATCGCTGAACTCAGTTTACCGTGACATATATATCCATTTTCTACAATAAGCACCAGTTGAAATGCAGCGAAATGAATCCGGATCTAGATTTTGCTTTGTACTCACTTGATGTTCTTCGTTCAAATTACTACACAGGTTGAGTAGAAGACAAATCTGTTGTGCGACGCGGAGTAGCCAATTCCACGCCCATGGGGTGGTTATTCAGACTGCTTAGATTCATTGATTCCTAGGCTTGTCCAATCGTCGTGACATCTGCTATAAACCAAACACAGACATCACATCCGAGTCACGGGTCTGTTTTCCTTTGTATACATCATAGTCAAGATGAGAATGGAAGGAGTTCATTAACACTCTCTGATTTCTCAGACAAATTGAAGGCTGACTTCGATTTTGTAGGATTGGCACGAAGCGTAATTTGAGACAATGTGACCAATAATGCATGGCATGTCATTTGATTGATTTTTCGTGCTGGCAAATGGAAATGAACTACCTACCATTCGAACTGGTATGTTCATTGCAAAGTCCATCCGGTTGTTTTAATACTACTACACGTGACCAAGCATCAACTACAACCATTTAAAGTGGCTGTTCATGACTGGTTTATTTTTAAAATATTGAATGACATTTCCAAATTGGAATCACTGAACAGTGTAGGGTCTTACATGTACATGCCCGTGTACGTGAGTGTCATCATCATCCAACAGCGAGATGCAGTGAAGCGAATTTCACTGATGGCTACCAAGCTCATAATGTACACAAATTAACCGATAAAGCAGAAGATGGAGACAGAGACTGGGCCCAATTGGAGGGCAGCAAGGGAAATGAACCTCTATGATCAACATACAGAGTAGACAGTCTAAGTGTGCATTAATACCTTTTCAAGCATTCTGACTTAATAAGAAATGAAAACAAGAACGCCACTGCAGCCGGTTAGTCACCATGTCCTTCAGTGTCTCCAACCATCCAGTTGCAGAGTCTTTTGGACCCCAACCTGGAAGACGGGAGACACTTATTCTTCAAGCCTCATTTTCACGTCATCACTTGACCTCCACGTGGCTTCTTCCACCCAGCAGCAACTGTGAATAAGGCACGGTGAGACAGACAATGGCAATAGGTGTCCTAACAAGTGAAGCCGACTATTCTGAATACGACGGGACAACGAATTCTCGATCAAATCATTACACGCTACGCAACGCCTTATGGTAGAGTTGCTTATACACTCACTCCATCCAATCCGCGCCAAATTACTTAAATATCGTTAGTCGAGGACTTATAGACGACGAATATTTTTCACGCACAACTTTAGGGTCTCGCCACCATAAGGCAGAACCAACCGTACATTGGCGCAGTATACACAATCATTCAGTTTCAATGAAACCAATGGTGTGTCAGTGCTGCGTAATCTGTTCGAGCCTTGGAAATGCGGGCGGTCACTTAAATGACTACGCCACCATCATCCTTCACAGAGCTACCTAAGTAGGAGAAACATTGGACTATAGCTAATTCTTAACCAGAAAGCATCAGCACCGGGGAGACGACACCCGATCTTGTAGCATTACTTTGCACTTTGAAGATGCAAAGCGCATATTGAATAATAAACAAACTAAAACGCTTGTCGATCGAATACATTATCATTGTAAACTCAATTTCAGCGCTTTATTGTGTTCCAAATTCATTCCCTGGTATAAACTATCCGTCAGTTTGAATGAAGAGTATAGAACCATTGTCCCTACCCCCGGCACCTCTCGAACCACAACCACCCATCAGGTTGACCACAGTTCAATCGGCCACCACTTCGCTAACAAGATTAATCGACTTGGTTATGAACCTAAATTGTCTGATCACTACTAAATGGAGGTAACTTGATTCGCTGTATTTTTCTCAGTGTATGCCTGATCTCAATCAATACTTCCGCGGAGAGCTTACGAATTACGTATAATGTGTACACGGAGATACACTGATGACGATTTCAATAATATGACTTCAACCATTCAAACTTTATGTTGGTTAAGTGATTCTTCCCAATATCCGTGTTCTTCAATGAGTAATCAGTGGTAAATAAAGGACTCTTTGTGTATATTTGTTGGTGACTTCAAATTCAAATTTTTATTATGAATAAATAAATTAATCAGTTAATTAATTATGGATAAATAAATTGAATAAAGCTAATGCTTTTTGAATCCCATAATGTCTGNGTACACACTGGGTTCGGTTCGTAGTACAATTGAATAGCAAATTCTGACGTTCACTTACGGGTACTGAAACGTTAGGTGGTTCAATGCTCCATTCAGTCGTGACTTGAATGAATTGATGGTTGGTTCACAAACAACTTGAGGTGGGAGAGTTCCAGGTGTTGCNAATGACGCCTGCAGTCGAGCCGGCTCTTTTGGAGCAGAAGTTTAAACGGATGTCCTCGTAGGTGACCATTCCTGGATAGCGTCACTAGAGTACTACACAGGTGGTTAAGTTGATGTAGTATTTGATAAACGAGGATAATTTCTTCCCGTATTCGACGGTATTCAGACGAATAGAGTCCGAGAATTCGCAGTCTTTCACCGTAGGTCCTAGATTGTAACCCTCTGACCATTTTGGTTGCTATTCTCTGCGGACGTTCAAGTGCCTCTTGGTCTCGAATCAGCCATGGTTTCCAAGCCTGTATGGCATAATCGGTGGGGGGTCTTTTGTATGCTGATAATAAACGGGGCAATAGGTCTGTTTCGAATGATCCAAAAACACGTTTTAGCAACCCAACGTGTTTTATAGCCTTTGAAGATGCTCTTGCGCAATGTGTCGAACGTCCTAGATCCTCACGAAACGATAACTCCCAGGTCCATTTCGTTTGAAGAATGCGGCAATTGCTGAGTTCCAAGTAAGTATGGATAGTGACCCAAGTGGCGCAGTGATACAACCTTGCGTTTTTCAACATTGAATTTGATGTCATTAATGACGGATCATCGATAAGCCGCGTCGATAGTTTCCTGCAAGGTTTTATAATCTTCAGAATATTTCTCCGACGTGATATGAAAACTTTTAAGAAGACCTTCCAAAATAATGCATCGAAAAAATGGTTTATAGGAGAACCTAGAAAGGCTAAGATCCGTCATTGCTACCACAGATTTTTTGGTGTTTCCAAATCAGAACCCTTCCTTCCTCTGCGAACATGTTACTGACTATCTTAGTTTTTGCTTTAACAAACGTTGCCAACTTGAGACGGTCTCCATCCATAAAGATGCATATTATAATCACCGTTACTGAAAAAGCTGTGCAGGGGAAAGTAACAGTCCCATAAGCATGAACTGAGAACCCATGTCCAGTGGCTTACATTTTTATTCAAATCTATAATAAATCGTTCAAGTAAATTGTTCATAGACAATATCCCGGGAAACTTCAGATGTTGTGGCATGTCAAGAGCTATCAAATGCCTGCATGACAGTACCAATAAACACAAAAGATGATGGAAGAATAAATTCAGAGTTCAGTCTAGTTTCATAATGCACAGTGCTGTCAGACCTGGTTAGTTTCACGCCACCACTTACTTCGAACTTACTTCTGTCCTCTGTGAACATGTTACTGACTACCAAATGTTTTTAAGAAGTATTGCCCACTCGAAACGGTCTTCATCCATAAAAAGAGATATCCATCACCGCTATTAAAACAACAATGTAGGCGGAAGAACAGGCTTATAAACATGGACAAAGAACCTAACGGCTTACAAGTTCCATCAAGGCTGAAATAAATCGGCTCACTAAATTGTACATCGATACTATCCTGGGAAACTCTAGCTGTCGTGGCATGTGGAGATCTATCAACCGCTTGTGTGAAAGTACCTATAAACATAACAGGCAAACTGTTGATGTTGAATGACTAAATTCCGAGTTTAGTCCAGTTTTAAAGTGCACTGCCCTGCCAAACTTAGTCAGCTCTGCGCCAACACCAACTATCAAACCGGTCACGGTCCTTCAACAGCTACTGAAAACAAAGGAGAATAAAGCACCTGGTCCGGATGAACTAGCATCCGTGGTATTCAAGGTATGTGCAGACATTATTTCAGTCCCATTGTATAAAATATTCAATGACTGTCTGATAAGCGAAAAAAATCACGATATTTGGAGACTAGCCAAGATAACTCCCGTTCAAAAAAGGAACCTGCGAAGTGTCGTCCCATCACCTGCACGCCAGTCATGATCAAATTACTTGAGAGATGCCTGCTATCGTGGGTTGTCACTGGGTCTGCCGAAGACATCAATTTGCATATCAGTCTTCGCGCTC